ATATATATATNTATATATATATATATTTAGGCACTATGATCAGCGCTGATTTTAGTTTGCTACTTGCTCAGATGACCAAAAGCATGAAAAGCGCGAGCGCAAACTGGCGCTCGTTGTGGAAGAGATGCTCGAAACTGAACAAACATACGTCGATTCCCTGTATGACATGGAAGGCCTGTTGAACGAATGTCTGTGCTTCGTTAAACCAAACGGACCTTTTCATAGAGTAGACATTGAGCTACTTTTTGGGTATGCGTCGTTTACTGCGTGCGTGTGGTAATATTCTTTGTGCACGTGTTTTTCGGGTATGATTTTTACGTACAGATTGCAATCTCTTGTTATGCCGCTCAAACTCAGTCTATTTTCTCATTTGCTGTTTTGATTGTCGAGAGCATGACTATCAAATAGTGGTGTCAATGCGAAAAGCAACTTCGGAACACAGCCGAACAGTATTGTACAGTATACTACGCTGAAGAATGGTGTTAAGGGGATTTGTAACATGTGTGCGTGTGCGCTATTAATGATTTTTTTTTTGCGGCAGGGGTGTGTGTATGTGGGGGGGGTAGGTGTAGATAAGCGTTCACACCAACGAATCCATCCCGTATGCTAAAAGGCTCCAGATTGCTTTCGCATCCCCACTCACAAGTGCAATGCTCCCCATGCATACACCTTGTCCCTTTTCATTTTCAGGAACTGAATGTACGTTTCCTCACAATTGTTTTGCTTTGTTTATTCTACGCGGACGTCAGCAACGTGGCCGAGTTGTACGTCTTCCACCTGGACCTCCTGGAACGGCTCAACTCATGTATAGACTATCCGTGGTTTGCTGGCACATTCTTCAACGATTCTGTATGTGTATTTAGTGAGTTCGATTTCAAAGTCAATCAGTCTGTTGGAAATCTGTTCCATCGAGTTCTGAATTTGATTTGAACCGTATTTTGCGCACTCTTGACTATTATCGGAAGCTGTCTACGCTCACACGCGTACTTATACACGCGCGCATACTCACACGCACACACCCACCACATCGCAAGCGCAAACGAAGTACATTCTGGCATACACGGTGTGTACGTACACGTGATTGCTTCTGCGAGCGAATAGGTCTCGGCTGTTGTTGGGCATACGTAGCTATAACAGCTGCACGCTTTTGGAGTGTTCTATCGGAGATTAGCCACCGGTGTTATATGCAGAACGCATGTTCCTTTGACATTGAAGAGGTGGCCCACTCACAATCGACACAATTCTCGATCATCGATTCATAGGCTGAGGAAATGATGAAGCTATATATCACCTACTGCTCGAATAGCTCGGCAGCCTTGGAAGCGCTCACGTTACTGTCGCAGGATAATGAGATGTCTGCTATAATTGGCAAGCTGCTGCAAGCCAAGCAGAAGCCGTTGGGTTTAGGGCCAGAGATCCTGAAACCCGTGCAGAGAATTTTGAAATATCCACTGCTCCTGAGGGTAGGTTTGCGTTGGTCGTTGCAGAATCTTTTCCATGGCTCTACTATTCCCACGAGATACTGGTTGTGCAACTGTATGTGACGGATGATAAGACGGCTGTGTCAGCTGAGACGCTATCGTCATGGTTTTCGTGCCAGTTCTTGCACGTATAAGTGTCGTACCCACCGTCTAAATCACACTACTGGCACAGGTCGCTTTTTATATGTTCGGCACTGCCATTGAGTTTGCCACTGATCAAATGCTATTATGAATTGAAAATACCTGCTAGTGCACTTTCTAGTCACCAGACAACGGCCATCTACGATCCAACGTATTGATTATACCGCCGTTTACATATGTGTGCGCCTTTTGCGATTACCGCATTCCTTGTAATTTTCCGCTTTGAGTTACCGCTCATTGCATGTAAATAATCCTGGCTGTGCATATATTTCAAGATTGATGTGTTATATTGTATGTGTCGTATCTCTCGCCCTCCAATAGGGTTAGGTGGTTGGAGTCACCCATCGCAGGTGAAGCGAATGATGAAAGTGTGACATGTGGTGTCCAGTACTTGATTGTTCTATATTCACACTGTAAACACATCTTAAAACTCGAACGAGATGCCTCAAGTAAATACTCTTATTTTCTTTCCAACTTCTGAATTTGGGTTCTCTGCACTGGTAGTGTGTGCGAGTGTGTGTGAGAGAGCCCGTCGTGTATAATAGTATCATTGAGTATCAGAAATTGTCAAGCCAGTGTTCTAATGCTCTCACATCTCAACGCTGCACTTATTAGATCTATTCCGCAATCATTCACGCACTCTCAATCGAATATATGTATCGGATTTATCCTATGAATAGGAGTTGACCAAATATAGTGAACAAGGGGAAGACGGATACGACGACGCAGTCGAGGCGATGGACAAGATTAACACAGTGGCAGATTACATAAACAACCGCAAAGCCGCCGACGAGAAACTTCAGAGAGTCGTGTCTATCAAGGACAAGCTCGATCACTTTGATGTGCGTGAGCATTCTGTGTCTGTGAAATAAGTGTTTGGATTGGTGGGAAGATTGGTGGGTTACACGAGCGGAAGTGCCAGCAACTGGGGAAGTTCGGCACTTGCGCTGCGATATTCATATTGATCTTGGGGTCGTTAATTGTGACACCTTGACATAGATTTCTGGTCGTTCCACCCGTGTCAATATGCATTTCCATTCTTGCCCATGTCTGTACATGTGCTTATAGGACAACTATCTAGTGCCAGATCGATACACGCAGCACGCCTTGGCCTCGCATAACCACACATGCTCATAGCTGACGTTCTCATCGGTTGGTGTCCACTTCAGGAGGACCTCTTATCATATGGGTTATTGATTATGGAAGCGTCGGTGCGCGTGAGCATAGGGGGCCGACGCCCGGGCGAAAGGAAAATGCATGTGATGGAAAAAGTAAGCGCAAATAGCCCCATTTATGTCACTTCGTATATAGACAATTGTTATCCCCAAATCCGGCAATCCGTATTTGATGGATGCGCGCACATGCGACTTATTTTAATGAGCGGTTTCTTCTCTGCGAAATAATGCTGCGGTTTCTCTGTGCACAGTCTTTGCGTGTGGTTTATAAGAGGCAGATATTGTGGTGAGGAGTTGACGACCGCCGACTAACGCCCAGTGCCCACAAAGAATCGCGCACATTGACATTCCGAATTCACTTTAGCTTTGTCAGTAGTCAAGTCAAAGCTATCTGTCATGATGATAGCTATTATCGACTCCGAACTCACTGACCTATATGCTCAATCCCGTTTGATGCGGTAGTTCTAGATACCCTTCAGCCCACATTTGTATATAGTCAGAAGCTTGTATCCACACTTGTATCTTGGGCCTTGTCTCACTAGTTCTATCAACTTACCCGATATTTACTTCCCTTGCAAATGCGGTAGTGTATACTATTGGCGAAACAGGACTACTCTGGGAGGATGAACTTCAAAGATCTCCTACTGATAGATAAGACCGAAGTCAATAGATCGCAGCACGACCCATCCACGTTTGAACTGCTGACCAAGGAGATGAAGAATAATAAAACCGGCAGAAACCCGGCAGAGGGTAAAGTGAAGACGTATAAAGTGTCTTGCCGGACATCCGCAGAATGCAAGGTATGTGGATGATTTGCAACATAGGCACGCGTGATGGGTGTGTGGTTGATTAGAGTTGGTCTTAAAAGAGGGGATCGGCAGTGTTAAGAGTTGAGTTGGTGACACGTGGTGATGACATAAGTACATTGAACGAGAGTCATGGTACGTTTCCTACGTACCTATGATAAGTGTTTAGTAGTTGATATGGTCTTCGGTAGCATTCAGATGCATGTAACTTGATGCCAACATGATTGACCTCTACGAAATGACGTACCGACTGATAAGCTTTATACCGAACTTCTGTAATCGAGTTTTTCATGTATGTGGGTAGCACAATCTCGAAGTGCATATCTATTGTAGAGCGAGTTCTACTTATTACGATTGTCTCCGATTATACATGGCACATTCTATTGTGACCAACCAGGCTCCACAAGCGAGGGATACGATGTTGCTGACTACGCAACCGCCCCAGACATAAGACAACTCAAATGCAGGATTTGTACGATCTAATTATAATTTCCTAATGAATTAATGTCCTATTGGTGTATCTCCAGAAGTGGCCACGAGGCTGGGCACGCTATTGACGTCGTTTTCATCTGCAATCCCTATCACCATCACATTTACTACGATGCTGAAGACTGATCATCCTTTTGCTGGTGCCATCAAAATTTACATATTCTACTTATAGGCGTTGACGAAAGCGATACAGAAACTAACGGAGAGTAGTTTATTAAACTTTCTTGCGGCGAAAAGTCAACCGAAGTCGGCTGTTGAGGAAAATGTATGCCACTCTCAGATCCACCCTTAACGTTCGTGATGTATATATGCCCATTGCCAGACCGACGTACTGAGGTTATTTACGCATTTTTTTCTTCTCAAAAATCTGTTTAAGGTTTGCACGAACAATGTTGTTGTGTTCAACATCGATATTTATACTATTACGAGTGTAAGTTTCGTCACAAATTGCATGCCGCGTGCTTTATGATACTGCACTCCTCATATCAGTCATGTCGACAAATACAGACTAAATGCATAATCTACCGATCTCCAGGAAGCGACAAAATACCTGGACCTCGATGCTATCGAAAGGAGGGAGCGGAGGTTACGGGAGCTAAGGAGCAAGAAGACGTCAGGTGAACACCTCCATCATTCAAATGCAGTTTGGTTTGATCTATTTTTCACGTAGATTTCGTATTGTGTGTTTCTGTATGACCAATGTACATGATTGTAGTCAATGTACATGATTGTAGGCGTTATCGAGCGTATTTGCATTGCCCTGACACGTACGTATAGTTTTATGGTTGATGTATTTGTTACCCTGGAAAGTATGACCTTCTCACGTCCAAGTAACCCCATCCCCAAGAATTCAAATGTACGTGTGGGGTCTAATATGTTGTTGTTCAACAAGCGTCCTTACGGTTGTAGAGATGCGTGGCATTTAATAATATAAATAAAGACAAGTTTGTAAAAAGTTCGAGCTAATCATTTGGGCTTGCGTTCCGTCCTTAGTTTGAAAGGGACTCTTGCTTCTGATCTGGTTGTGGTGTCTCTACACTAAACCATTCATAGAGATAGGAACCTCTTTATCGGTTCATTTCAATTTTAAAGTATCAGATCTCATACTGCATCCACCGGGTATCCTCTTTTGTGTTCTGTAGTGCGATCCGGATTAGGAATGGGAAAGAAAATCACACACCTATCAATACAAGACTTGGGTAGCCGCAAAACCACCAGTTCACCCCTTGTTCGATCCAAAATCGCCGCCTCAAGTCCGGCACTTTCGAGAGGTGAGTCAATCATGCCAAACATTGTGACGTACTTGCGGGTGAAAATAATAGCGCACACTCTGAGGAAGCGAATAGACAATTGTACGGATGCAATTCAAAGTACGATCGCATTGATATCGCCTTTGCATACATGCACAATACCACTTCAGAGAGAGAGAGATCAATATCGCACACACAGCGTTATGGATACATAACCGCATGCACGAATATGTGTACAACCTCAGGGGGGAGGTTTTAAATGAATACGTATATCGTCATATTTGCTTTATTATTTTATTCCTGAAAAATGTAGTCTAGATCGATAAACATTTATGCCAACTGATATTTTCATGTGCCATCGAATAAGTTATGCGTGCTTGTAGCTATATCTCTGTGTATGCGTCAGAATTTTCAAAATGAAACTGTACGTACTCGTATTGTTCGTATGGTTGATAAAAAATAGTTGTGCGTTCATATTATAGCCGTGCTGCTAAATAGGGGTTCCTTAGCTGTATTTTCGGAACCATTTACACTGCAAGGAACCTTCACCACACTCACACATCTCGTACGTGCAACTACACTCTACCGCATACTTACACATTCCAATGCTATATTGTCCTTCCTATACGTCTATATTCGTCTCGCAAAAGATTCCCCGAAGAGCATTAAGAAGAGTAAAACACTCGGCGCGGGCAACCGACCCGAGTCACCGGACCGACGATTATCGCAACAGCACATTGTAAGTCACAGGTCCTATACATCAATCCATGAGTGCAATATGGCGTTATAACGGACGTTTTGTTCTAATGTACAGTATCGATTCGTCAAACTGGTTCAGGATCCTGTGCTTGCAATTGGCACTACCAATCACATGCACATAGTAGCTTTTAAAACGCGTTATATCTTGAGCATAAAATCACACCTTTTCTGCACATCATCGCATCGTAGAAAATAATGGTCACCATTGACGTACAACCATATAGACTGGATTAGGACCGCCCACATCCTCTGCACCAATACATAAGATGACGTCTGAGAACGCCATCCCCAATTGGGGAGCGCCTCACCTGGCGGAACAAAACCAGAGGACTTCATCGCCTGTTCCTGCGTCAATTAGGAATTCAATGCCCCCTCCATTGCCCCCTGCGAGAAAACCAAACAATGGTATGTGCACATGGGGTGACCGTGTTGTGTGTTTTAGGGTATCGGTGTGGGATGGTGGCAGAAGAGCGCGGTAGAATATTCCTGCCCAAACTGTAGCTAGAAATTATCTGTGATTAGTCACTTCGAGGCAGTTTATTGTGTTATTTCAAAGGATATCGTATGAGCGTGAGGCGTGTACTATGATGATCACCATAGCTGACAAGGGTAGGGTTTTAGGTGGCCGGGTATTGGCACGAGTCTCGTATTGGCCAAGTGTGTGTGAGTCCCAGTTTTGACTGTACCGGGTATGGGTTAAAATCTGGCATTCGGTATTTGAAAGTTGATAAGATTGGGTGCATGCAGGCATGCTGATTTGTGTTGTTTACGTGGTGTCGGTTTAAACGATTGAGGATTGTAATATCATAAGCACCGCATGAATTGTTTTGATTCTTTTATTCTCTGTAGCCGGTTCCACACACCGCATCTGGGGTGTAAAGTCTGGCCTAGTTAGTTAAGGCACCTATCCTATGTACGTATTTTTATCTTTAGTGTACGTATTTCTTTCTTTAGCACTAATAGTATAAGCTCAATGCGACGGGATATCATGTGTGATGATTAGAGTAGTGCAATCAATCGCCGCCACCGACACTCGCTTACATGATCGTTCGCGACTTCCCCATTCCCTGCCAAGCGTGATATTGTACTCACAGCCAACGATGGCTTACCGTACTCACTGCGTCTGAGGTTTTAGGGTTTTAGGAATCGGCCATATCTTATCTGTCGATATTCGGTTCACATCAACCTACTAACAGTAAAATTTGTGTGCGATCATCAACAACGCGTTCTGCACCACAGGACAATCCGACGATGATACGTCCACCATGTCGGATCAAAGTTATACCACCACAACCACAGCGTACAACGATCAAGACTCGGAATTTGATACTGATGAGGCGGAGTCTGATTTTGAAAGTATGTTCTTATATTCGTAGTGCTATCTGAAAAAGGTGCAATTTGGTATCCAACGCGATGGTATGTCACATCGAATGATGACCTTTCTAATATCTTGGTGCCCTACACTGCTTGATATCCACTCTCCGCATCTATTTCGAACCCGGGACAGTGAGTTCTATCTAAGAGTTACTGGTTCTTTTGTCCAGGCCTCCTGATAGGTGTTTGCTACTGTCTTTCTAGTTGGTCACACCTACCACATACCATGTAATCATTATACATAAGTACTACTGTTCGGATCAAGCCACGTCCGCACGCATTCAATTCTCATTATCCTGTCGATACACTACTCATTCGACTACTTATTTTTTTCTCTGCTTAGTTTTGATTAATGAGGATTTATCAGACACGAAGGGATACGCAAGGCCGCCTTCGTATCCACCCGCAGGACCACCCCCCAGGTTGGTTGTTTCAAGCATGTATGGAAGTGGTGACATACATGCCGCTGTTACAAATAACACCTGTGTTGGTCGCTAGTTAGGTTCCATTGAAGAACACAGTTTACCTTCCTGCTTAACTGGATGCGAATGTGGTCTGTGCGCGTATTTCTCATACTTTTGCACTGGGAACGGGTGTATAACATCAGATCACGCAATTACAATACGTGACATCAGGAGCATTCGTTTCGCGCATCTGAGTTTTTACTTGACAAGTCTTGTGCCTTTCTTCTATTCAATAAGACTCGAGTGACTTCATTAGTGTTCCTTACATCATAGTAATGACTGCATAGCGGTTCCCGCATGCCGAGAACCATTTACAAAATTCTCATACTCCGACCCTCTTAACTACCACAGCATACCACAACCCGTACCACCAGAACGTCACCTCCAGCCGCGAAGAGATTCCAACTCGGATCGATCAGTTCCGCCAGAAGTGCCCCACACCAAGCCACGACGACCATCAGCACCAAGCTTACCTTCAGAAAGCGTTCCCAAGCAACGGGCGCGTGCAGGCTCACACACCCCCCCACCCATAGCACCCAAACCAAAGGTACCCCCCACGGTGATAGCCCATTTGCACCGCAAACCAACAGTGAAGGCCCCCGCACCCCCCGAGCCCACCACCGCACACCCGGAGCCCACCACCGCACACCCGGAGCCCACCACCGCACACCCGCCTATAAGTAAACCACCTGGTAGTAGTAATGGTACTAGCCAATCGCCCAGCTATGGGAATAGCCCAACCAATGCACGCTTGGCCGGCGGGACTAGCAGTCCGAGCCCCATGGAGGGGGCGACAACTAGCGATGCCGGTGCGACCAGGCGTAAAAGCCAGCCTCACTCGCCCAGGGCGCTGGCACCTAAACCACCAAAGCTGACGCTATCGTGAGTGCGATGTAAATATAGCAATCCAAGCAGGGAGGCAAGACAAGCTCCTCCCTTCTGATATACGGATTGGACACGACCTACAATCATTGGGTATCGAGCCAACTGCTCCCATAAAAACTAACAAGTCATGCTCTAGCGATGTTGCTTCGAATTCTAGAATCATGCCCCCGTCGATAGAATTTTTGAACCAGTTCACATTCGCATGGTACAACTCCCAAAAAGAAGAGGTTCGTCATGATCATCCCCGGAGTATATTTGCTAGCTATAGCCACACCGTGTGCAAATCTCACTGCTTTTCTATGGGCATCTTCATGTCATTTCGGCGAGTCTTCTGTCCATCTCGAAGAACAAAAATCCACTGGACAATATCGATTAACCTTGTTCGTATTAACTTCTAGACGAGGAGGCGGACTTCTCATTTGTATCGTCTTATGCATGTTTGTCTATAGTCTTAAACGTTAGCTCTCGCAGGCTTGCTTTACTTCAGATAACTACAGAAAAGTGCATACGGGGAGTTCGAAATCCATTATGCATGTCGTTCGAATCGGGCGCACTTTTGGAAGAGCGTGAAGATCTTGCAGAACTCGTGCAGATGAGCCATAATATGTGCGTTAGGTGCTTGCATTATACGTGGGCTTGACTTATGTGAGTCGTCCGACTTGGGTGGCCCAGGGTATGCTCTGTAATTAAAGGGGTGCCATGCATATGGATACATTACCATGCATTTTGGGTTGACAGTGGTACGCACCTGCAATTGTTATTAGCACGTGTCCCGGAAATATAGAAACAATCGTCCCAAGCCTATCAGCTTCGCGCTGCCGTATCATGCAAGGAAGGAAGTTAACCTATGCATGCAGACACTGTGGCTACAACACCCCCCTTGCATTAACATTTAAATTACTGACTGCAAGCACCCCCTTTACAACATTTAAATCATGTAAGGGTAAAGAAAACTCTGGATTGGTTTTAAACAATATGCAATCGAAAGAACTCCCAAGGGTCTCAGGTTTCGAAGACTTGCTATATCCTCGCTGGAGACGGTTAGGCGGAGTCACGAGATGAAAATCGAAGGGCTTGAAGTACATAGAAGGTAAAACGGAAATGTCTACTGTAGCAAAGCGGTGCTGGACTACAACAGCACTCTACAGCAACTTCATGTACACATCAGTATATCTTGGGTCAAAATAGCTTTATTTGCATGATCTTTCAACGTAGATGTGGCGCCCACTGAGTTCAAATGTAGTAGATTCGACATCGGGAATTTGTTCCACAATTCCTCAACTCTCACTGCAAGGCGGCCACAATTAATGCGAAAGCGAAAATAAATTAGTTTGATTGCAAAAGAGAATATTATTGCAAACTGACGTGCTGATGAACGCTTTGCGCACGGTCACTAGTATGTAACCACAATACTCCGCCCATATACATTCGTCGAACAACACCTTTACGTGATGGGCAACTCCTTTGCACCTAATCATTGCGGTACTCGTTCATACTAACTATCTTATAGGCACACCGCTATGTGCGATGCAACAACACTTGTAACCACAGCACAACAATATAGCTATCTGACGTATGGTACTCGCAAGAAATACATTTGAGAGTGGACGAGGGCAGGATACTGACACAAGGCCACTGTACGTTCCGGGATAAAGAGAACTCTTAAGTAAGAAGCACATCCGAATTTTTAACAATATTATATATGAAAAGCTGTGTAGCCTATATTTCACTACAGTTTAGGAAGCATCACGGGAAGCATATATATATATATATCTGGAGAACTTCCGAACATTGGATAGCTGAGTACTTCAATGCTCTGGGGAGTTACAAACTACAGACGGCAGAGGCATATCAAACCGAAGTATTCGAAGATGAGGAACGTGATACTACGCGCAACAAAGAACGGAAGATACAGAGCTGCGCACGAATCAGGTCTCCGAGTGCAAACGGATAGGCGAAATTTACTTACAAGGGTGCTCGTTCCGCCCTGTAACGCTGCAGGAACAATTCGTGGCGCCTCATGGCACCCTCTTCATATACACCCACGAGGTAGCCCATGGTCCCTCCAACAGCCACAGCGGTCAGATGGAATCGGGGGAAACCTGGCGAATATAAAGTGATCGGCGCGCAGTAAGGTTACCTACTTGCAGTTACTATGAAATTGCTAGGTTGGCTGGTGGACAATGCAAAGAGCCAGCAGGATTCTCATGCTAGAACGATAGTGATACACTTATCGCCCGGCTGTTGCCTCTAGCAACGACTAGTGGGAGAAAGCAGGAACCCCAGCGTATAGATGTGTGCAATGTATAGAAATTACAATATGGTACTAACAAAGTACGATAGACAGACCTTAGCACAAACACATGCGGTGATCAGACGATATGAAGGCGAGTTTGTTACATGTACAAGAACAGTGGCCCGCCAACGCCGACAATTACCATATTTGGACGGGGAACGCACCTTCCACAAATTGTACTCATTTGCGGTGATATCATAGTATGAAATATGTGGTTAAGAGTGGTGTGTGTGGCACAGGTGACTAGTCAGTATAAATTTACACGAATCGATCGAGGACATATCGGTAAAGACATATCGGTAGCGTAGACCGTGAATCAAATTATCATAAACGCCCGACTGTACATGAACTAGTTGATATGCATAATCAGTGCCTATTTCGCAAATCCAACAAACACAAGTATATGTACACGTCATCCACTAAATAGTATATAGAAAATATACTGTAAATGTATCTCGGACATAAACATATCGGTTTTCAGATTTACAACCGGCACTTTCACGTTCAGACTGGTTCCTAGTGCTCCTCTCATGGATAGACCGACCCCTGGTCGAAAACACACACACACACACACACACACACGCATATATATATATATCTATATATATATATATATAATATAACTAAAATATATTATTACATATATATATATAATAAATAAATAATATATTACTTACTAACTAACTAATAACTATACAGTATATATATATATATATAATAATATATATAT